TGGGGGAGAAGCAGGAGGAGAAGGTAGAAGAGTACGAGGGCAAGGAGGGAGATGCATCATCACGGAGGCATGAGGAACCCCATGAGGAGCAGGAGAAAGAGTCTGCGGAGCAATCTGAGGAGGAGGAGGTGGAGGAGAAGCAAGAGGAGGGGAAGGAAGAAGAGTATGAGGACAAGGAGGGAGATGCATCATCACAGAGGGATGTTGTTATCCAGGTCGGGAGTGGAAGTAGGGGCGGAGGGCAATCTCGCGAACGTTGTTTAAACGAACAATATGACTCGATGGACAAAATGGATGAAGATACTGTCAGAAGAGAAAATTTGGTGGACGAAATACTTGGGGCGACAGAATGGGACGAGGGGGGGAGAGGTGTAGTGAGGAGAAGAGGGAGGAAGAGCAGTTAGAGGGGCAGCAAGAGGATGAGCAGAGGGAGCAATCTGAGGAGTTGGTGAAGAAGACAGAGTCGGAGGAGGAGAGGAGGGAACGACGATCAGGGAAGAGGAGGATCATCCCAGGTGGGCATGAGTGGAGGGGGGAAGGTCAATTAAGCAAGAAAGATGAAGAGGTGGACATTGATGAAGAGGGTGGGATGAAAGTCGTAGGGACAAGTGAGAGGACAAGAGGGGGGAGGGTACTGAACAACCGAGAGGCAATTAAGGTGTGTAGTGGAGAGGCGAGGTTAGAGGACATCAACGAAGATATTGAGGAAATGAGAAACGACATGTAGCAACCGGATGAGGACGTGAGAGGGGCAAGACCGGAGCAATATGAGGAGGTTGTTGAAGAGAGCGGTGGACAAAGAAGTGGGAGGTGGGGAAGACGAAGATTAGCGAAGAACTAAGAAATGTGGCAGAGGAACGGAATGAAACAGAGAGCGAGGGAAGAACACCATATGGAGACGTTGATGAGGAGAGCATGAGAGATGCGAGGGGCGGTGAGGGAGGAAGGGGAACGAGGGGGAGGGGAAGGACAAGGCAATTAAATGAAGAGGGGGTCGAAGTCGGTGATGGAGAGGATAGCGGTGATGAAGGTGAAGAAGAGGAGGACGAGGATGGCATAAAGGATATGGAACCGGAAGATTTGACTGACTAGATGCCGGATTGGACGGGTGACAGATCATACTTCAAGAGCAGCGACAAAGTGGACCAACAAAACCATGAAATGGTTAGAGAACATCTACAATTAGATTCAGATCGCTATGCTTTTGACCAGTCAAAGGTCAGAGACAAATGCGTATGCGGACCTGCGGCAAGTGGCAGCACGAAGAGAAGGGCAAACGCCTCGGAAGTGCAGACCGACGAACAAGATAGAGCTTATAGGATTTTTTGGAATAATTTTGCCCATGGGTTTCGTCCGCCTGCCGAATATGGACGATTATTGGAGAGGCGGGGATTACGGGGCAATGTCTTTTGCTGACTTTGGAAAGGTTATCTCAAAGAAGCGATTTGAAGACTTAAAGCGGTACATCCATCTTCGAGATAAAACAGAGAGGCCTCAAGACACCAATACGAGAGAATACCGCCTTTGGCAGTTACAACCGCTCATCGACGAGCTTCGACGCAAGTACTACCACCCCGGGAAAGTGTTGTGTTTCGACGAGAGGATGATACCCATAAAGAACCACTATTTGTCCTGTGAAGGTTGTCAATAAGAGGAAACCCCACCCTGAGGGAATTCAAGAGTGGAGCCTGAATGAATGTGAGACCAGATACCAGGTCGACTTTGATGTTTACGACAGAGTCCATCGACGTGCAGCAAAGCCTCGAATCCCAGGACGAAAGTTACAAAGAGAGAACCTGGGTGTATTTCAGAGAGTCGTGTGGGATATCGTGTCAGAACTCGGGCAAGGGCATATCGTTGTCATGGATCGAGCGTTTGCTGAAACGCACCTGTTTCAAATGTTGAAAAATGAAAAGGGCATCCTTGTCACTGGCCCTGTGAAGTTGCCACACACTTCAGCACTGGAGGATGTGCGGTCATTGACACCGACTGCACCAGAAGATTCGTCGTCGGGACCGAGAGCACCAGAAGATGTGCGTGCCTCGAGTCGCAGATTGTCCTTGCGTTTTCCATCGAGCCTTAGACTTTCTGGAGATGCACCGGTGGGTGCTGTAAAGTGGACACACACGCAAGCTCCACACACTGGGATGATTGCATGCGTTTGGAAAACCAAACACGACAAACAACCATATGCGTTCTTATCAACTTCCCACGGTTGTAAACCCGTGAGGGACGTTACGATTGGAATAGGAGGGCAACAAATTACTGTCAAGAAACCAGAATGTGTTTCCTTTTACTCTAAGCACTCAAGCGCCACCGATGCATTCAACAAAATATGTTTTGGGTGGATCCGTTGCGAGGAGTTTATGGTATCTCGACGCTGGTGGCCGAGGTATATGTGGGGAAGGTTGGACGCGGTAGTGACTAATGCGTACATCCTACATAAGAGTTGATCGTCTTCAATGTTGAGTCATGAGAACTTTTGTTTGGAGTTGCAGCGGGAACTGGTGGACATAGCAAAGGCTGCATGGTCGCTGCCGAGGCAACCGGTTTTGCCCATTTATCGTAGGGCTGGGCGGGGAACCTCGGTAGAAAACCCCTACCGGGGGAGGTTCACGGAGGCTCATTATCCGGGCCGAACCCCGTCAAAAGCAGGAAAGTCTCATCAGGTATTCAATTGTGTGGTGTGCTCATCACTCGAAAAGCGAGGATACCCCGGATGGACAAAAACTCGCACTAGTTACATGTGTCAAATATGTGAAGAGTCGTTGTTTGCATCACCGTGTTTCAGACTCTTTCACCAGTATACCATAGACGGGTTTGATTTCAACTATCGACGTAGTACGCACACAAATGGAGGAAGAAAGAGAAAAAGAAGAAGGACATTACAAGGTCAACGTCTCCCTTTGGGAGTTGTGGTTGGAGGAGAGAAAATTCCAGTTAACTCGTCATCCGAGGACGCTATAATGGGCACAGGTGTGGAGAGGGAGGCCCAGGAAGAGGCCATGTTTGTGGCTTCTAGTGGGGATGGAAGCTCATGAAATCTCGAGTTGCAGTGCATTTCAGAATTAGGGCATGTACAATACAGGGGATGCGTACAACTTCACTGGTTTATACTAGAGATTAAAAGCAATATTGGGGATGCATAATTGATTTGTATTAAAGAATAATAACAACATCGCAGATACGTACCACTTCATCACAGACACTTACTACTAGGAGTAATGATTTTGTTTGAACTTACATTTGCATTACAAAGTACAGCGGGATGAAAACAACCAATAATATTGTAATCGTCAACTGATGCAGAATTCTTGCGAATGGACGGATGGAGATCTCGTGGATCATTGATGTGGGTTGTATTCTCTCCGCAAGGGTGTGAGAAAATGCTGCACAAATACCTCACTCGTGAAGGCACGACGTTGACGATGTGCTCGCCGCAACAAGTCCTTAATTTCATTGTTAAGAGGTTGTGGAAAGTACCTGCAACAGCGATTGGCATCCAGTTGTGGCGCGAGTGCAATTCGACAGCTGTGCGGGATGAAATTTTAGAATACGCCATGAAATCAGTGGAATGGGTGGCCCGCATCTTCGAAGATGCTGGCCTCGGGGCGGCTAATCAACAAGCCTTTGTAAATCAGATTAATCTTTACCTTCTTAATGTGTTGGAGACATGCATGGACGCTGTAAATGATCTGTCAATGTGTAAGGGTTACATTACGTCGTTACATCAGATCGGTGGCACTTTTGAAAAGACCCATGTTTAGAAATATGGTCAGACATGATGTCAAAGGAATTAATAGAAAGTAAAAAAGGAGCGGATGAGAATTTGCATTACCGGGCAACAGGAACAAACATATGTACCCAATTAGAAGGAATTCAAAAGAAAGAAAAAAACACAAAAGAGCAGTGCGGTCAAGAGACGGAGACAAAGTGAAAGATAACAAATGTAGGAAAAGAAAATGCAACAAAGGAAGAAGGAAAAAATTAAAAAAAGAAAAGGAGCTTGGAAGGAAAAAAAGCAAAAAAAATTAGCAAAGAAGAGATAAGAGAAAGATGAAGGAATATATCAAGGGACGAGATTGTTTAGCATGTCATGGAAGCGACGAATGAGCTAGAATGGAAATATAACCCAAAGAGAGAGAGAAAAAAAAAATGGTTTGAAGGAAATTGAAAAAGGAAGATGAAAATTTTGAGAGACATATGAAGTTCATGTTATACATATGAGGGAGGCTGTGGATGTAGGTTTGTGAGTATATTTCTGCTACTCTGTCTGTTTGTCTTCCAAAATGCCGAGAGCATAAATACGTGAAAGTGATGACATCAACACATCAATGCACGTACATTAATCATAATTTTTTATTCGGTCAAAGTGGGGGAGGCTGTGGATGTACGTTTGTGAGTGTATTTCTGCTACTCTGTCCATTTGTCTTCCGAATTGCCGAGAGCATAAACACGTGAAAATGATGACATCAACAAGTCAATGCACGTACATTAATCATCGCTCGTTAACCAATACCTATTGTAACGCACTTAGCAAAGGAAATGTCAATATCAGCCTTACATCTCTCTCTCTCTCTCTCTCTCTCTCTCTCTCTCTCTCTCCCTCTCTCTCTCTCTCTCTCTCTCTCGCTTTCTCTCTCTCTCTTGAGATTTCCCTTTCCCTTTCTATGTCTTTGCATGCGTATGTGTGTGTCATTTTGTTTTCCATTAAGGTTTATTGAGTTTTCAGGTCCAGTGGAGATTACTGTTTTTTTTTTTTGAACTACTGATTTGGAATAGGGTTCGGAAAAGAAATTCAAGTTATTGGGAATATTGGTGCGCGTGTGGACAAATGAGTACGTGGTATGGATGTGGATCGAGATTTTGACATGGATATTAGTTAGGATATGGAGATGAAATGTAGTCAGTAACAACCTTTCATTGTATGATTGGTTTTGACATGCGGACAGGACGCTGAATTGTTTTTCAACATAACATCATGATTGTTTGGCTAATGTCATAGATAAGTTCATTTTGCGAATGTCCTCTCATCAATATTTTCATTATCTACAAAACAGGATCGGGGTTCCCACGCCCATAATGATATTCTTTTTTAAATTGTGCTTGGATGAACATGTCCAACAAGGAGGTTATGCTCAACGCAACAAATATGTTTTTTTTTTTTTTTTTTTTAATTACCATGTACATTTAGGTTATAACTTTAAGATAGTATAGTGTTTTTTTTATAAACTTACACCATGTTTTAAGTACGG